TGGTGGGGGCCTGCGGTGGTGTCTGGGGGGATAGGTCGGTAAAGATAACCTTGTGTGCGCTTCCAGAATAAAGAGGTGTCGGAACTACTATGAAATTCTGGGGGTGGAGAGGGATGCCAGCGAGGAGGACCTGAAGAAAGCCTACCGCAAACTGGCCCTGAAATTTCACCCTGACAAGAACCGCGCTCCTGGAGCAACGGAAGCTTTTAAGGGTGAGATGGGGACTGGCCAGGTTTTGAAAGTCGTAAAGCAAGATTAAAATGAGGACAGACTGCCTCAGACTTACAGTTCTGTGCCTTATATAAAGGCATCATATGGGCCCACATAGCTTGTCATTTTATAGACAAATATGTGCATCTCCACAAAATCCCGCAGCTGGTCGGCAAGATTTGCCTGTTAATCTTCAGAATACAGATTTCCATTAGAATAAAAGGGAAGCATATCCCAAATCTCATTCCTAGATACTGTTAAAGGTTCAGAACAATGCTTGGAAATTATACTGGCGATGGAGGAGAGTGTGTGGTTGTGTAATCAATAACTGCTCTGAGTAATAAATAAAATTTTTCACATATATATATATATGCAGGCATGTGAAATTTGAGTCCAGTATTCTGTGTCTGGATTTTGCAGTAATGTTGCAATCTAAACCTGTATCAACAATGTTAGCATCTAAACTCTTACATCTTTTGCCTTTTCCATCCTGCATTGCATCTGTCTGCAACAGCACTATAAGGCAGCATGAGGAAAATGAGGTATTCACTCATAGTCTATTAGAAGAAGGAGTTTTTGAAGGGCTTTTCTTTATTTTTTTGTGTTAGGGTTGTATTTCTCTATGAACTTATTTACAGCCATGTTCTGTCAAAGATCAAGGAAGAATCATAGAATGCTTTGGGTTGGAAGGGACCTTTAGAGGTCATTTAGCCTAACCCCCCTGCAGTGAGCAGGGACAGCTTTAACTAGATTACGTTGCTCAGAGCCCCATCCAACCTGACCTTGAAGGTTTCCAGGGATGGGGCCTCCACTACCTCTCTGGGCAACCTGTTCCAGTGCTTCACCACCCTCATTGTAAAAAATTTCTTCCTTATATCCAGTCTAAATCTATCCCTCTTTAGTTTAAATCTGTTACTCCTTGTCCTGTCACAACAGGCCTTGCTAAAAAGATTGCCCCCATCCTTCCTATAGGCCCCCTTTAAGTACTGAAAGGCCGCAATAAGGTCTCCCCACAGCCTTCTCTTCTCCAGGCTGAACAACCCCAACTCCCTCAGCCTGGCCTCGTAGGAGAGGTGCTCCAGCCCTCGAATCATTTTGGTGGCCCTCCTCTGGACCTGCTCCAACAGGTCCATGTCCTTCTTGTGCTGAGGGCCCCAGAGCTGGACACAGTACTGCAGGTGAGGTCTCACCAGAGCAGAGCAGAGGGGCAGAATCACCTCCCAAACAAATACTTCTGGGTGGTTTGATGTAAAGTGTGAAATAGGTATGCTGTACAGCTTCACAAGCATCTCTGCCAATGGGAAAAACTTGGAATATAGTTCTGCATGTTATTTAGTCTCTGCAGTTATTAACTTTGTATTAACTGTATATGGTATATGGAGGTGCACTTCTGTATCAGTGCTTAAGTTTGATCTGATAAAATGTTACATTCTCATTCAGTCTCTTGACTGAAGTGGACTCTCTCACCTCAGTTTTACAAGTATTTGAACTCTCTCCATATATTTTAATGCTTTTGTCTTTCTCTTGGTATCAGTGGTAGCAGGAAATAGGTTCCATCACAGGTAATGCCAGTGTTGTAGCACTTTTTTTACAAAGGCGGTTCTTTCAAAAGTAACTCAATCTTTCATCAAGCACAAATTTTCTATGCCTGTTTGGGCTTTTTTGTTACTCTGCTTATAAAAGTCTGATATCTGGAAATACTGTGTGATATGCCTGTGTAATGCTTCTTTTAATTCACTCTCCAGCTATAGGCAATGCTTTTGCAGTTCTGAGCAACCCTGAAAAACGATTACGATACGATGAATTTGGAAGTGACCAAGAGCATGTCAGCACTGGTCAGGCCAGGCACTATAATTACTACACAGAATTTGAAGCAGACATTACACCAGAAGAAATATTCAATGTGTTTTTTGGTGGGCACTTTCCTACAGGTCAGTATCTGTCTGCAGTGTTTTTGAAATGCAATGAACTGACACTAGACCATAAAGGAGGTTCAGCTTCTCTTGGTACTGCTCAGGGAGTTGATAATACATCTGAAAAGAGCAAAAAACTTTTTTGGATTTACTCTTTTCTCCCTTCCTAGCTTTTTATGCCTGGAAAAGCTCCCTTAATGCATGGTTTAAACTTCAGATTTTAGGAGCTCCGTTCCCCAAAAATGTTGTCAAAGCCCAGCCTTGCTGTCCAGGAATGCTCCAAGAAGAGAGAGCTGCCAGTGGGGTAATGACTGTTGCTGCTGGAGCAAGTTCCTAACCTCCCAGCCTCTCTTGAAAATTTCTGACAGCACTAGTTAGGGATAAGAACATTTCAGTCTGGCAAGGGTTTAGGTTGATTTGTAGGTAGCCGAATTTTAATACCAGCTGTGGCTGAAAACTCTTCTTTTTGTTGTTGCTTTTAGTCCTTCCATTGTCTGAAGCTGTCTTCAGTGCTATGGGAGGTAAAATAAGGTGTGGATGGGAAGGGATCAGAGGTGTCTTTGCTGATAGTGATGTACTTGAGACATCTTACTGAATTCCAGTACAGCATGGCAGCAGCTCCTGGCATTGTGGTCTCAGTGCCCCTGCAACTAGGAAAACAGAGTTCATTTGGCTGGCAGCAGCTTGCATGCTGTAAAGAAATTAAAACTTCTTAGCTTAGAAAGTGATGCCCGCCAGGAAAGGATGTACATCCAGTTACTGGATGTATGGTATCTAGTAACAGAACAGTAGATCCGTACCTATAGCAGGTCTGTGCATGTCTCAGTCCAGCCTTGGCTTTTGTATTTGTAGTAAAAAGAGAAAGATATTGCAAGATCAATGGAATACAGGTTTGGATTAAAAGTAAATCTGAAAGGTATGGTGAGCTCAAGGGTCTTCCTGGCAGTATATAATGAGTTGCTTTAACACAAACTTTCTCACCTCCAAGGTGTGGTATAAAGCAACATACGCGCCAGTTACTACAGCCTAAAGTCACAGATACGGGTAATGACTTACAAGCTCCCCATAACCTTAGTCTGTGTGGTAGCATCTGCAGCTCAGGGGACCTCAAATTGTTTTCAGAATTTGATCAGTAGATGTGCAAAGTGAGACAAACTCAGCATGGCATAATTCTACACTGAGCTGGCAAGTTTTCCATTTCTGACTTTGCAAAAAACTACACCTGCGTGTGCCTTTTGCCTCAACCATCAGTGAAACATTCCCTTGTGAAACATGACTGCTATGTAGCTGTGGGTGACAGGGATGCTTGGAGTTGAGGACAAGAAATTGAGGAGCTGCGGGAGAAGTTTGGGTACTGGGCATGGCAGGTTTAACAGGTAGAGTGGCATAAAGAAATAAATGGGAATTTTTATCGAAGTGGCAAAGAATAAGAAAATAAAAAGATACTTTAATAGTAATAGGTATTGGTAGTAAACAGTAGTTTCCTTGCCAAAAAAAGGTTTGGGTCTAAATTTATGTACATTTTCCTAACCTAGAAGGGAGTTTTAAATTATGGAAAATCATCAGTTTAGTGGTTTTCCAAATAGGCAAAGTCCACGCAGTTTCTACTTAGCAAGAGAATTACTAGTAAGATGGTGTCCAGACAGTTGGTATAAAGAGAACATTTTTTAAACTGTCATAATGTTAAGTAGGATTTGCATCCTTGAGCCGAAGTTTGTGCTAAGCTGCAGTGTTGTGCTGGTTTTTGTTTGGTGACACCTTGTTATTACCAGGCTTTCTGGAAATCTGAATAAGAAATGTTGGTGTTAAACTCATTTGTATAGCTTTTGTGGGCAGGTTTATGGCTTTGTTTTTATTGTGCATTTGTCCTCTATGGAAGCTCAGTGGAAAAATATTAAAAGTTAAATTTAATTTTTTTAATAAATTTTTTACATTTAACATTTTAAATGTCATAAGTCTAAAAGGAGACTCCATGTGGTATAGTGCTGCAGTTGTAATGGGTAGAGGCTACAAGTTGAACTTCCTTCTCATAAAAAATAAATGCACAGGGAAGGAATGAAACTGCTGGCAGAAGTTCTTTGAGAAACTTGGGATTTGGGAAAACTTTTTTCTAGGCACCTTGTTTGTAGAAGCCATTCTTTTCCCACACTTGCTTCTGTCTTTTTCACAGCTTGATAAAATATTGTCTGAGCAGTGTTGAATTGTAGAAACAAACTTTATTTTTCAAGAAAGAAACTTTTGTTCTTCAAACCAGCCTCACTTGACATTCTGTTGGAGCTCTGACTGCAAATGTGCCTAGACCCTTGGAAAAACCTTTGAACGATTAATGAAACAGATGTTTTGACACAATAGCAAAGGTCACTTCCACCCAGGTTTCTTGCAGAATTCTTTGGGAAATCCAGAGAAAGGACAGCATAAGACTGTAAAATAATGTGACATCTTTCCCAGGGCTTAAAAATAGATTTGCATTTGTGTTGTCATGATAAGGTCATAAATTTAAATTCTCTAATACAAAGACATTCTGAATTTCAAAAAGAGGAGAGCAAGCTATTATTAAGATACTCATACGGTGATAAAATAGAGTCATAGAATGCTTTGGGTTGGAAGGGACCTTGA